CGAAGGGCAAAAAAGAAATTGCAAGGCCAATGATGTAGCCAGAACCAGAGGATCAAAGAGCTCCTGTGTGTCAGCCCTCGTCCCTCTCCAAGATCAGCTACTGGAGTACAGCAAAGGCACCACCTCACATCTCTACAGGAGAGAGACCTCTTTCAAAACAAATGGGTGTAAATCATGCCCTCAAGCTCAGACTGCCACCGCTGCCTGCAGTGAATGGTATTTCACCCAAAGGATATCTCGAGAAATGACCTTAAATACATAGTACACATACCCCCCACAGCGCTATTAAGTGTCAATAATGCTCAAGCATACACTACATATGTAACATGAACTGAGCAAGCTTCAAAAGCAGATTTAGTCTTCAGTACAAAAGCTAACAGTAAGAAAAAGGCAAGCACACACGTCGTCTTAGATTTTTTTTTTTTATTCAATGTAAAAAATTTAAAATTTACAGTATTTACAAGTAGTCATTACAAAGTTCAGAAAAGAACCAAAGTATGTTCAGGAGGACCACTGTGGATAATGAAGTTTCTAAAGTCAGGAAGACTTATACTAGACATTAGAAAACATTTTCTAGGGTAAAGAACTCCTAAAATGAATTGCCTGATGGCGTCATGGAGTCTTCAGATAAATGTGTAGGAGGAACGATGCAGTTCTGGGGAGAAGAATGAGTCATAGACCCCTGGAGGTCCCACCAGACCCAATGATTGCATCCATTTAGAGAATACAGAAAGTGTATTAATAAACAAGGGCTTCATAGTTAAATGAGTGATTTTTTAAAAACCACACTAAAGAAATCTATGCAGGTCACTTAGTTTATAAGATGAAAGGTTCTTTGTGTTTGGTTTTGTTTTGGGTTTTTTTTTTAAGACATGCTGAAACTATTAATTTGAACCAAGTACAACAGCTCTTATTTACTAATACTAAACTGTTTACGTGGCACCACTTCAGAGCAACTGGTTACTTCTAGCCTTGAGAAAAACCACTCTTCTCATGCAAGTTTCTTTTCCTGCAATCTTAACTAGTGAAGGACTACATACAAATATGCATGTCTGTTCTAAGCAACTGGGACACTACAAGATGTCTTGTTTGCACAGATGTCAGTAGATTTGACAAGTGTCGTGGTTTAACCCCAGCCGGCAACTCAGCACCACACAGCCACTCGCTCACTCCCCCCTGCTGGGATGGGGGAGAGAATCAGAAGAGATTCAGTGAGAAAACTCGTGGGCTGAGATAAAGACAGTTTAATAAGTAAAGCAAAAGCCACGCATGCAAGCAAAGCAAAACAAGGAATTCACTGCCTGCTTCCCATGGGCAGGCAGGTGTTCAGCCATCCCCAGGAAAGCAGGGCTCCATCACGCGTAACGGTTACTTGGGAAGACAAACGCCATCACCCCGAACATCCCCCCACTTGCTCCACGTTTCTATGCTGAGCATGACGTCATGTGGTATGGATCATCCCTTTGGTCAGTCGGGGTCAGCTGTCCCGCCTGTGTCCCCTCCCAGCTTCTGGTGCCCCCCAGCCTACTTGCTATCCAAAATATAGCCCCATACTATCTACTACAAAGAAAATTCACTCTATCCCAGCCAAAACCAGCACAAGAATGATTTTTTAAAAACTACATTATTGATTTATGTGGAAAAAGCATAAAAGCAGAACATTTCGTGCTTCTGTGCCAGCATGCAGTATTACCACGGTACTTCGTTGTTAACTGCAGATCTGATGATAAAAAGTTTCAATGTTCAAGCAAAAATGAGAACTAAAGAAGTTCTTAGAAATATTGTCAGGTTTACACACCCTTAAACTTCTTTATTTCACAATTATAAAACTTGCAAGTTGGCCTGAGCAATTTAAACATCTAAACTACCCCCGTGCTACTGGCTACTTGTTAAGTACACAGCACACAGAAGACACACCTGCAGGGAGGGTGGTAACTCAGTGGCTTTTGTAATTACAGTTCAGAAATTTTCATTAAAAAACACATTTAACAAAAATACGTTTTTAGTTTTCATTAAAAAGACATTTAACCTTGTGATAGTTACAAGAAGAGGTCTGTTGCATGCATATATACGTGTATGCTGTATAGCACAAAGCACTCACTCCTGTGCTTGATTTTCAGCTTACAGAATAATGGTGCCTTTCCATTATATGCAGCTACCTGCCATGCCAATTTTTTCCCATATGCTCATGATACATTTCTGTGAAATTTCTGATCAATCTTAACATCCTTGTCCTTAATTATATCCTAGCACCTGGCTGGTCCCTTTTACTCACATAGGACTCCGTGTGACTTGAAAGATTCAGGACAATGTACAATGTAGTAGTATTTCAGGGGGAAGAGAAAAGAATCTGAGACAGTCACTTAGTTTTAAAAATGCACCTATCTGCCCTCACACAGGCAAAAAATATCATTCCTCTTCCAGAGTGACAGCAAAGGAAAACCTTCCAGAACAGAAAATACTTAATGATCTCTTATGTTCACACAAGTTTATGAGGCTGAGTCTTAGTTGTTCATTTTCCTAAAAGCACCAGGGTTTCAACATCCACTGTTAAGAATACAAATCTAACATTTCCAAGAAATTACACCCTTCTGACAGAATAGTTCTGAGGCAGATATACCGAATGGAATGACTACTATGGCTAATTCCTGATCTTCTTGGGGAACAGCAACGTTTTTGGGGACAAAACTGACAGAAGGAAAACAAGCTACCAATTGCAAGAAGATGAAATACTTTGAGCAGTAGCAAAGAAGATAGTTACTCAGCAAACTGTCTGATCAGAAACTTCTTCCCCAAAACCAAGCAAACCTCACAGTTTCTAATGCCCTATTTCTCCCTTCTGTGCCAAGTTTAACTTAAACATTTACTTGACATTTATAAAGTCCCAAGGTATTTATTGCAGTTCAGATTTATCGACAAACCTACCAAACATGAAAGAAATGACATCAACTTCAAGCTCTGCACAAGATGCAGCTGCTCATCTCCTCAGCAGACAGACTGCTAAAAGCACACTTCAGTGATGAACCATATTATTAACTGAAAAGTCAGTTTAGTTGAAGTTTCGAGTGCAAGTTAATTCTGATTTTCAAAGCCTTCTTGTAACACCAAGAGAGTTATGTTCTGCACTTCTGCAATGGAGATATCTACACACTAGTGGATCCTAACCAATAAGTCACCAGCATTGCCTTCTAGGAACTCAAGCCAGAACATGACATTAAAAGTTTTTAGGGGGTGTCACTACATTTGAACATAATGCAGAAACAAATCAAAGCCAGCTAACACATCCTTCTAGTTGGGCTTTCCATTACACCCTAACTACAAAATTCACCTGTTTGATTTGGCTTTTCCTAAAATTAGCAAAACACTGCTAACAGATCTGTTATCCTCCCGGGAGTACAGAAGGGAAAAATGGCTATTGTCTTTAAATCTTTGGGAATTTATTATGTACCACTGTGGTTAATGTTTAATATCTGCAGGAATGGAAGCAGTCCAGAAATTGCTCTATAAACTAACTTTATCTTAGGACCACTCGTGCCACCGAAAAACGTAAGGACAGAAGTACTATGATACTGGTTTTCCTTTAAAACCACCTGCTATAACATGCAAACATTTCCAATAATCTTACAAAAATAGCTTTTAAAACAAAGACATAGTTTTGTATAAATGCACCACCTTATGTCTGTAAAACATCTTTTCTGAACTAAGGTTCATTAAGAACTATTGTAAATGTTTCCGACAAACAGAAAATACCCATCAAATCTTGACTACAGGGAAATAATTGGATTGCAGGCATTAGACTTAACAGTTTTTAAACATAAAAAAATAAAATCCTCATCCTTCAATTTTCAAAACTGCAATCTCATGCTACAGAGTGCTGTCAGATGACAACAACTTACAAACTACAACTTACCACACTACTTTTCTATTGTCTTGAGATGTATTTTTAAAGGGAGGTAATTTGGTGTAGTTCCTGAGCTATGTCATAAAAAAGGGAAAAATGACAGTCATTTTCAACCTGCTAGAAAATGTGTGGAAGAAGTCCTGTTGACTTCTATTAAAAAAAAAATCATATTGTTCTAAGAATTAGGATAAAAATGCTCTGGAGGAAAGCAGGCTTTTGAATTTTGACAAGATTTTCTAAAGAATTTGTGCAACCACCCATTACACACTACTTTTTTTTTTTTCCAATGATGATCAGCCAGCATGCTAATACAGGAGTTACCCAGAATGTGACATGGTTACATTATGTATCTAGGTGATCCAAACAGACGCAGCTATATACAAATAAGAGCACTTTTAAAAATAGCTTTTTGAGTTCCAGGACTTCTGTTACAAAGGAAAAAGTCTGTCATTTACTCACTGAAACGTACAAAGTAATGGTCCTGGAAGTACATGCTTCTAGTTGCAGAAAAGACTATGATTCCATGGCCAAGAACCAGGTATTTAAATTCTTAAGAAATACAGGAAAAGGTTATAGGCATATTTTTATTTCAAAGAAATAGTAGCACTTTGTTTAATCCAAAAGTACTCTTCAAGAGAAAAAGACAAGCAAGAGAATACCTCCAATAAGGCAAAAACTCTCTATTTCTTGCACGTCTCTATCATAACCAAGTGAAGGACTTCTTAAGCTTTATGTTCATCAAATTGATTTTGAAAAGGATTTGAAGCAGAAGGGAATAATGATACAGCTGCTGTTTTATACTCCTTCATGAAGTCTGTTCTCAACAGAGTACTGTTAAAAAAAGAATGCTATTTCAAATAGGAAACAGTGAGTTATGTCATATACACAAACACTTCTAAAAGTCATTATTATGGAATTTCCCTCCACTTTTTATTGAGGCACTACCTTCCAGTCCCATTTCAGCATTCTACTGTAATAAGTTGTGTAGTGGTTACTCTGGTTGGACCAGAACAAGTACAACTTATAGATGTTCATAATATTACCCAGACTTTCCATAATCTTCAATAATGCTGTTCTTCTTGAGTTCTGGTTAAACACTTCAGCTATCCTGGTTAGTCAGCCTGTAAGCCATCACAGGCTGCTCTTCACCAACATCTATCAACATATCTAATGGCACGTGAGGCTTGTCATAGCCAGAAAACTTGACACAGTTGTTTGGAATGACTGTTTGTTGTATTTCTGTGACAGAAACTTCTGGACCTGAAGAGTTACTGCATACATCAATTTGGCTACTGTCAGAAATGAAATAACTCTCTTTTACTTTGCGACTTTGTTCACCATCGGAAGATACCTCCTCTGTGCTTTCCTGCACAGACACCTCTTCTGTTTTGGCTGGTGCCTCTGGGGAAGGAAGAAAAGATGCTCCTTCGCTGGAATGCTCAGGACTAACAGTTTCTTCTTTTGGCTCTACCTCCAGCGAGGTTACTTCATCATCTGCTGATAACTCCGACTGGCTTGGCGTGATGGTTATTACAGATACGTATCTTGCCTCCGATCTTGATTCTAGAATGCTGTCTGTGTTCAGGTTTCTTATCACACTGACCTTAAACGGGGGGGGGAGGAAAAAAAAAAAAAAAAAAAAAAAATCTTAGTTCCACATTATCTACTAATTTATTGGCTTTATCTTCTGTCAAAGTTTAGACATTAAAAAAAAAGAAACAATTCATAATACAAATTTAATGTCATTACAACCAATCCCAACAGAAATCAGCAAAATTAGAATCTGGCAAGGTCATTAGCCTATATCTATGACTTCAACTGCTTCATTAACATTTTTATGCAAGCTCTCAAAATGCTTTTTATGTGCAAACACATTTGCAAGGACCAAATCCATTTCATGTCACCCACTGTATTTCAAGTCATTTGAAGTTTGCAATGTAGAAGAAAACAGCGAAGGAAGAAAAACCTGTAATACTTCTCAACTACCTGGGGAAACCTTTCATACTCTATAGCTACTGAGTGTAGCTTGCAATGACTGTAATATCTTGTGGCAACTGTCTCAACTGGGAGAGAAGTGAACTTTGGAAAGAGATCTTTAAAATGGCATGAGAACCTTTACGCATACCCAGTAGTCATATCTATGCTGAAGTCTTCCTAGTTATTTCTCGTCTGTCACTAAGCACTCCCTCAATGCTGTGACAAACTTTAATATTTCACTTTGAAACCCCTCCACAGGAAGAACATATTAATTCCTTCAATGGCCAGGCTCCAGCTTGTTTTAAATGATTATGACATGCCTGCGAGCTGCTTAGATTCTTCTGATTTTTTTAAAGGTGTTTTCAAAAATAGATATGAAGAACAAAGCAGGGTAAATTTTCAGCTATATGATGGTGTTCCCTAAAGCTAACAGAAAGCACAGGGAGAATAGTGTCCTTTTCAAAATTTCATCATTCACTACGTATTTGTATCACAGACTATTAAGTATGACAGGTAAGCTGATTTCTTAATAAAATGTACACAATCACTGTTTTTTTGAGATAATCTGTAAAAAAATAATCTGACTGCAAATACAGGTTGAGGCCAAGTTTGGAAGAAAGGGATGTAGGTAGGAGGAGAAAAGGGGGAGAAAAATAATGTTGTTTAAGAAAAGCTACAAATAGCCACAACGAATCTCCCAGTCTGCGTTAGCGTAAGAACTGAGAGAGCCATCAAAACCAGACAATCAAATCTGACTGTGCTTTTCAAGAATCTTCCTTGATCAGAAGGTTGTGAGGCTGTACCTGTACATTCGTACATTCGTACATTCACAGCGTGCTGACTTCATTAGAACTTGCCTTCATCTCTCGCTTCAGCCCCATACCTTTCCCCTCAGTTGCCCTGATGCCTGTTGATGGTACTGTGATTTATGCTGGATCAATGAAACTATCGGAGTTTAAAAAAACAAAACAAAAAAACCCAAACCCCACCAAAACAGCACCACAAAGCAAACAAACAATCCCTGGAGAGCAGTTATCTGTAATCTAAGTGAGTTTTACAAACAGCTGTGTTAGAACCACTAAGGTGAGGTGATACCCTTGGGAATCAAGGGCTGCCACTGGAAAACTAGGAAGAAGAGCACTGAGGTGGCTCCTGACCCTGAGAATATACCACACTACAACCTAGCTGCCATTCAGCCACCACTCTCTCTGGATGTTCATTTTCTGTTATGTGGAAACAGTCAGAATATTATACAAAGAACACTCAGAGTAATTTCCATGAGTATGTTCATAAGAAGCAGATGCTTAAAAGATAGTTGGAGAAACCGGAATACAATCATAATGCGTAGACACCGAAAATGTTATGAACAGATGGATTAATGTACCTTTCAAAAATCTGTTTATACAGATACATGAAAAAATATTGGATACTTATGCTACACTGACCTTGAAGGGACCAGCATCTGTAGTTTTTACGGGGGTAGCAAAAATCTGACTCCGATAGTCACACAGTAAGTGACAAGAGAAGATAATTCTCTGTGTAAGCTAGAATACTCAAGGAATGTGAATTAAAACAAAATGCTATAGAAACTATGGCTAAAAGATCCATTTACAACTTCCCATCTTTCCCCACACCAGTACACAGTATACTAAAGTTAAAACCAAAACCCAATGAGTTCTTGTTTCTGTCCTTTTAGGATTTTCACATGGCTCTAAAAATCATAGTCCTAAAATGCGTTAAGGGAATGCATTGTACTCTACACAGGTTCTGCATTTCACAGTGCCAGCTGGCAATGTTTAAAGATAGGTCCCAAGGACAAAGTAAGTACTCTCTACACAACTCCATCCAAGACTTTTGTTCTCAAAAAGGAAACCCTTTTTTCACTTGGTGAGTTTTTGACCAAAGCAAGATGGTGCAAAGACACTCCCATTCATGAAAGAAGGAAGCCATCAGAAGAAAAAGAACTCTTGTGGGTTTCCTGGTACCCAAGGTTATTTAAGAGTCACTGAGTCATGACTACAAGACAATTTAGTAATTCATGCAGGTATTTCTAGCTTCAAAGAGAAGACTCACAGCTTACTAGACTAACTGGAATGCCATTCAAAGCATCTCAAGTAAGAAGGGTAATTAAAATATGGTTGCTATTTGAAGAGAAGTGTTTACAGTAGGCAAGTTAGTATTTTTCTTTCGTGCACATTATTTAATACTAGCAAACTGACAGCCAGTGAGCTTAAGCTGGATGTCAGCAGTATTTCCTGGCAGGTGCAGGTGCTCAGGTATCTTCCTGTCTCCAGTGACAGCACCTGAGCTTTCAGGTCTTTCACTGTCTCAACAGACTAGGGAGATACACCGGTGGAAGCCAGGGTCAAGGATACATACAAATAACATATCCCAAGGAATCTGTAACAGTTAAGGTAATCAACAGTTTCTTTTTTAACTTTCTTTTCTAAGGGCTTGCCCACCTATGAATTCCCAGTAATTTTCAGGGGCACATTTTCTGGAGGAGAGTTTAAGAAGTCCATTTCAAATCTTATTAGGACCTTGACGAAATCTGCATGGCCTTTGCATGGTTCCACAACAAATTAATGCTGGGTAAATATATAAGTAGGATAATATGTTACTGCCCTATAGACGCTCACAGGAAAAAAAATCTTCACAACAGCTAATGAAGCAGCTTCTTTCTTGGAAGATGACAGTTATTTGTGACAAATATCAGTGAAAATCTACAGGAACAATTACAGTTTCTCCAAATCAAAAACATATGTTGTATAACCAAAAAAGCCAGAGTCACAAAGAAAATTCTTAAGTGTTTTGTGAATATCCGTAAGTGTTCTACAAATACAGTGAGAGAACACAGCCTTGTCATTCCTGTCAGGCTCAGACAAAGCACCAGCAGATAGCAGAAAAGTTGACTTAAGTATGAGCTAAAAATGAAAGTTGATGCTTTTCAATGAGTTTTGCTCTTATAGAGTTGGTTTTTTCTACCCACTAAAATAATTGCCACCATTTAAAGATAAGAGGCACTGGAAAAAAAAAAAAAAAAAAAGACAGTGAAGTTAAAGCAGAGGGAGATGCTCATAGCGTATCAGTAAATAAAGGCCAGGCTCCTTTTAAAGTGGATAAGCTCTTATCACAAATCTTACAACAAAAATCTAGTACAGAACAAATCACACACAGGACAAACTGGAATGACTGAAGATGGTAGGTGGAAGGAGATGGCCCCTTGAAATACTTTTTGTGAGATAAATGAAAGAAAGCGAATGGCTCTAACTACAGCTGGACCACTGAAACATCAGATTCTTGTGATCCAGTAGAAAACTAGCATGATGAAGTCTTGCAAAGGAATCTGTCCCATTTCATTAGACGCATATTCCTGCTAGGATCCTACTATGAATAAGAATGTTTAAAAACATTTAAAGAACATTTTCTCTAGTGAAGGTAATCATTCAATGCCCATACTGAAAGACAGTTGCACTGCAGAAGTAGGACCTGTACATGACTGAAACGTTATTCTTGGGAGTCACAAACAGCATAGAAAAGACAATATAAGAGTTCTTGAGATCTAAATGGCAATGCATTTTTTATTTTCTTTGGGTATATGAGACTCTCAGCAAAGGCAGCAGCTTGATAGGTACTCTTTCTTATTTTTCCTTCTGTTGGAGAATTCCAACTTGTGGAAATTCACTCAAATGATGTTTTAGCATCTGCTTAAAGCCACCAGGAAGCAGATCACTGGAAGGCAGCAGTCCTAAGGTAGGACACCTTGCCTAGCCTTTTAACAGATGGAAAAACTCCCTAGATGTTTCATTTTCAGACAAGCTGAGGTAAAGCACAATGGTCATAACCTGTATGGAAAGAAGTGTCTAGTACACATTCAAAGGTCAGTGACAGGCTCTCAGCACCAAGAAGTATACAGAGAGAACTTCACATCATTAAACTTATTATTCATATTGTTTACATTATTTATTCATTACTTTAAATGATCATAAGTTATTTATTTTACAGTCCCAGATTATTCATATCGCCTGTATTGAAACTATCCTTATGAGCTCTGCAATTTATATTTGTCACTAGAGACTTCAATGGGAATAGACAGAATCACAGAATACCCTGAGTTGGAAAGGACCCACAAGGATCATAGAGTCCAACTCCTGACTCCACTCAGGGCAACCTAGAAGTTAAACCATACATCTAAGAGCATGGTCGAAATGCTTCTTGAACATTGACAGGCTCAGGGCTGTGACCACTTCCCTGGGAAACTGGTCTCAGTGTTTGACCACCCAGGTAACAATCTTTATTAGTTACAGGTTTCATTCAGCTCCTTAGCAACAAAGCATGATGTGGAAACATGAACAAGACTGTGGTACGCTGCAACCTAGGAATTACAAGATAACATATAGCCCAGTAAATTGAGAATGCAGGCACACAAATTAGTTTCTACAAGGTGAGCTGAAGTGTGAACTTGGAGCACGCATCAGGAAGCTCACAGGAATCAAGGAACACGCATTTTATTTGTGCAATATTCTTATTCCTGATCCCTCAGATGTGATACCACATCGCATCGCTTAAATGTGATCCCAGTGGTACTGGGAAGCCAGAATAACTATGGATCCATTGAGCATAGCACTGTCATTCTGGATGAGCCGTCTTTTGCTATAATGAACGGTTTCCACAAAAATTACGGGGGGTGTGTGTGTATGTAGGACATAACGTTATGTATTCAGACAGTTACTGGTGTGAAGATGAAAAAAAACTTCCAGTGTCTCACTTTTTCTACGGGCCTGTGTGTTTTGGTATTGGGGTCTAGCTGCAGATTCCATCAGACAGGTTTCTCTCATGCGATTTTTTAAAAGTCTACAGTGTGAATGGCTATCTCTGAACTAGTCTCATGGCTCTGTCACAGTCCATGGAAAAAAACAGGCATTTTAGAGTGTTTTGTCTGACCAGAAGTGCATATTATTTCAGAATGAGGTGAATCACCTTGTGCTGCACAAGCTGATGGACTAGATTACTGCTTACTACAAAGCATCCTGGCTTGGATATCTCCATTTAGTCAGAGCAATCTCACATCCTAATATTCTGTTCTAAAAGAAGCAGGCTCCAGGGGGATCTTAGGCATTGAGCTACCCCTGTGCTATGAAGGAGTCACTTTAAAGGGTCTTGAAGTTGAAGAACATGGAATTGAAGATCATTGCCTCTTCCCTCTAGAAGTCTTATGAGACTCCCTGCACCCGCTGAGAAGATACACTCTTGATATGATTGCCATTTACCACTGCCTCACCTGGCCGTTCTTGAAAGCTGTTTCAACTGCTGCTGATTGTTCAGTTGCTGTGACTAATGAGACACCAGGAGGACATTGTAACAGTACTCGTCAGATACTCTGCTCTTGCCTGATGTGAAAGCAAGGAATGCCGCTGGTCTTTAAGGAACAGC